GTATCTATAAAAACAAAAAAAAAGAAGAAGAGGAGGATATGGAAAGGAAAGGATAATGGTATTATAATGTATAGGGCAGGATTGTTTGCTCACAATCTAATGTACTATTCACACTTATCTACAACCTAGGGACATTTGGGAGGATGCCAGGTAATCTATCACTATGTTTTTGGGAGAGATGATGTGTAAGAAGAAATCCACATACACACAGAAACAACATAAATACTCCATGCAGATAATGACCTTACTGATTTCAAGCCTAGGACCCAGAGAATTATGTGGGAACAATCTCTAAAGTACATACATATGATTAACAACCATAAAAAATAAATTAACAGGAAAAAAAAATCCCTTTTGTTGTTTCTTGTTTAGTGTGGGGCACAGGATTCAGTGATAATTGGAAGGTCCAAACCCAGTCCCACTGAGGGGTGAGCAACACAGCAAACAAAACACTAACAACCTTAACTATAATAACTGGGGGGGAAAAAACAATCTAGAGACTGCCCGGAGCTCAAAGAACTGCTTTGGATGAGGCATGAACATTCACCTGGTAAAACATGATATTAAAGTCAAGATGTTTTCAAGCTCTTTCAAATGCTGACTAAATCACTTACAATGGATGCAGCTCCTTGATGTTTAAAAGTTTTCGTTTCCTGCAGATATCCTGTTTTAGAGTGGCTCCTTTCCTTTGCAGGGTCCTATCGAGCCACCCTTATGTGTGCTGGGTGTGGAGCTGTGTGTACTCCACAAACACACAGCCACAGCATTGCCATGCTCCTCCATGCTAGCAGATCAACAGCTGCTAGAGGCTGTGCTCCCTTGTGATCTTGTTATTACATATGGGGCTAAGAAGCCCCCTATGTGATAGCCAATTTACATGACGGGTCCTCTTTATGGAGACATCAGGGGTATCCAAGACCCCTAATGTCACCTAGGGACCCCCAGAGAAGCTGATGAAGCAGAGATCTGCTTCATCAGCTTTTGTAGCTGGAGAGTGACACTGAATGCAGGAAGTGATGTAATATACATCACTTCCTGCATTCAGGGACTGAGATGAGATCAAAGGGAGTTAGTGTACTGAACTCCCTTTAATCTCCTGTCACAGAGCCGTCCCGGCCGCATCAGGCATAGCGGATCTCGGGACCGGCAGTGACAGCTGCTAATACAAGCGATCGAGCGTCTCTAGAGACGCCCGATCACTTGAATGCAAAGCTCCCGGCCGGCCGTGTAATTACAACAGAGGGCCGGGAAGCTGCTCATCGGGCTCCGCCGTCCTCTCGTGATTTTTCAAGGTGTGTGTGTGTATGTATGCATACACACACACATACATACACACACACATACATACATACATACACACACACTCTAAGAGTATATTTCATATATAATGTTGGTTTATAAAACTGGAGTGGTGATTCTGATTGTCAAACTTGTAAACAGGAGAATAAAGAACAATATTTATTACATGCTGTCTTGTTATTTGTATTTATTTTGTATAACTGGGTATTGCATAGCACCAGTTCTATTAGTCTGTATGCCTTATGGCATTCTCTATCTGTTCTTCTTTGGTTCTGCATGCTGGCTGTAATTTTTAAACTCTGTTTTTATTTTTGTAACCTGCTCTGTAAGCTATGTTGCACAGTGCTAATTCTACCGCTTTGTGTGCTGGGCAAAGTTCTGCCTATCCCTTTCCTTTCTAGATGCCCAATCCCTATTGTTTAATGCACTTTAGTCCTTTATGTTATCATTAATGCCGCTGTATAGCTGTACCGTATACCTGCAGAAGGTGTCAGCACTATATAAATCAGTAATAAAAATTTGGAAAATATTTAACCATTCATAGCTAATTCCTATATAAAAAAATCTAATATATTTCAACTAAGTAATTATTATTTTATTGTGATGCAAAAATGTAACACTATTAGAAAAATATGTAACTTAAGTGCATTGCCTAAAAATATTGTGGCTACAAATTTTTAAATAAACTAAACTATGGACCTATCGTGGTTGCAATCATACTGTGGAACAACGGTTGGTTTGTAATAAAAAAGTCAATTTTCTCCTGGAATTTAGACATGTTTACATAGAAAGTAAAAAGGTCAGGTTGGTCAGCTATCTAGAGTGCTGGTTTAATTTCCTGGCAAATAGCTTGGCCTTATCAGATGTACCTTGTCTCAGTGCCTCTAAGCAGGGTTGTCAGGCTGACAGTGACTTTGTTTAGGTTGTGTTTATAGGAAAGGAATCAGTCTGAGGGTAAAATGAAAACACATCCCACTTGCTTGACCTTCCTGTCTAGGGTTCCATATTCCCTGTCTACACACATTATAAGCATCTTGCAATGAGATATATAAGAATATATATAAAACATAATTTGGAAAATATATGTACACAGTGTAATGCAAATTAACTTCCCTGCTGACAGACTCGACCCTGCATTATTCTGTGCATGGCTACTTGGTACCTTGAGTTACTCTTAATACAAGATGTGAAATGCATGCGTGCCCACATAGTGACCTTTTGTTCTAAATTAAGTCTGCAGTAAAAATGATCCTAGATAGTGGAAAGGAAAGATGGGTCTATAGGTGCTGGATGAAAGGCAAGGACAAGCAATGCACAGGAAGTTGGGAGCACAATGGAGCTGTAATTTATGAGTGAGCCATTATTAGATGAAGATGAAGGACTAAGTGGAATCTATGTTGTAAAGGTTGGGATTTCAGGCGGTAGGGATACAAAATTTCACTTACCGTATTTTTCATCCCATAAGACGCACTTTCCCCCCCCCCCAAAAGGTGGGCAAAAATGTCCGTGCGTCTTATGGAGCAAATATTTCCCCCAGCTGTCAAACACACGTGTGCAGCAGCTCTCGCAGGGTGAAGTGTGTGTGTGTGAGAGTTGAGGCAGGGGGGCTGACAGTGTACCTTGTGCAAGGCAGCACAGTCTGTGCCGGTGCCGTTCTCTCCGCTGCAGCCTCACAGACAGAGGTTTCTCCTTTACAGTCTGTAATCGGCTGCAGCCATCTGTGTCAGTGGGGACAGGCAGCCCATTACAGACTGTAAGGAGAAACCTCTGACAGACTGTGAGCCCCCACCCCCCCCCTCGTAAAAATTTAAAAAACAAAAATTTAAATTAAAAATACAAAAAAATTGAAAAAGTTAAATAAACTAAAATTAAAGTCCCCAGCCCCTGCGAACACACGCATTTAAAAAAAAAAATGGCAGACTGTAAGGATGACATCACTGGTGGAGCCACGCACAGCCACACAACTTAAAAAAAAAAGCACTAGGTGCGTCTTATGGTTCCGAAAAATATGGTAAATCAGACTATAGTAGTAAAGGTAGAAGTACAGAAAAGGACATACCTGCAGCCAGTAGATTCTAACAGTGGAAAACTGAGATCCCCCCCATTCCCATATTGTCTGGGGGAGATGCTGTAAATGTCAGTTCTATTCAGCAACAAGCTGGTGTTTTGAGAAGAGAAGCACATTTTTTTGGGTCCCCATGTAAAGTGTAAGTATGTTTTTATACTTTTATATTAGCTTCCATACTGACCTCGCCAGAATCAATTATAGCTTATTCCTTTGCTCATACAGCTACCTTTAGCGCTTTGTTTCTTTTGATCATACATGGTTAAAATCCCTGCCTGTTTATTTTTTGCTGTATGTGTACCATTGGGGAAATTTACCATCACTTCCTGTCCCAGAGACTGAACAGGAAGTTAGAGGAAATCTCCCAAAGTGAGTGGATTTTCCCTCCCCATTGATGTCCCCATTGGAAGATTTTTCTTTACCGAGTAACTAATGAATGTAAGATGATTTCATATCAGCATACAGAGTGATTTTTAGTGAAAAGGGGCAAAGGTCTGCTTTAAACACTGAATTCCAGGCAGAAAAAAACATGATGTGTATGCAGTTCACATGAATGTGGATGGGTTCGTTAAAAGATAATTAAATTAATCTTTAAAAAACAACTAGTCTTTAGTCTTCAGTACCTGCATTCCAGCTGGCATTAGCCTTTAACAACCGGCTCTACAGCAGAGCTCAGAGTGGGAGAAGCAGCACAAGGAGACAGTCAGTTGTGCTGCAGTACACATGTGTTTAGAAACATGGTGATAGGGAGGAGTGAGTAGAGTGACAGAGAGAAGAGATCATCAGTCTGCTGCTTCCCTTTAGCTGTCCAATCACAAGCTGAGGTAGGGACAAGAACTAATTGCATTGCTTAACAGCAGTAGAGAAAAATGATGTATCCCGTTGCCAGTGCTGTGTAAATCTCAGGAATGAATAGACAAAAATACAAAATCCTTTGTCAGGTAAAATATCACTCATATCTGTATTTCGTGTGTTTGGAATACAGCTTTATATTTTTTTAAATGCAAAAGGAAAAAAAAAAGATGTGGCTGGCAGATCTGAAAGAGAAAATTTAATACAATGCCATTGGAGCAAAGCTTTTATTCTGACTACTAACATAAGTCTCCTGTCACAGCGATTTAAGGTGCCAATGTGAACACACATGGGAAGGAGGATGAGGTTTATAAAGAACACTTCATGTGAAGCCAGTGCAGCATAGATGTGTGATTTTGTCTCAACAGCCAAGACAAATTAACTATTAGCCAGATGTTTATTTTGCAAATTCTCCCCTCTGGTGGTTAGACTTCGTCCTGCAACTGTTTAAAATGCACACGCACACACTGTATATCTAAAGGAGTGCACATGCTAAAAAAAGAAAGAGGAAGAGTCTTAGACTGTCTTCCATATTTTCAGTCAATGCAATGCTGTAGTGGTAAACCAAAGAAAACTGTTGAGAATCCACCTATAAATAGGTTGTAGTTATCTAGATATGTGTCTAATTCACAGCCCTCGTGATACAATTATTCACGGGGGATTTCTTTTGGGAGAATTTGAGCTGATGAAAACTGAAACTCACTTAATAAAATAAGTGAACACATTTATTGTTTGAGCATATTATATTATTAGTTCCACAAGAGATAGCAGAACAATCTTTTACCTGCCAGTGCATCTTGGGCCTCAAAGAACGTGCTGAGACCTCCTTTTACGTAGGCAACATTCCCCTCGTTTTTCTTGCTCGCCTGCTTTCGCAGGTTGTTGGCTGCAATTTTCAGCTGTTCAAAACTAAACAAAAATATATTTATTGATTTTCATTTTTAAAACTACAACTTAACAATAACATGCACAAAACAGATTCTATGTAAATGCCTGCATTGGGTATATACTAGGGATGCACCGATACTGTTTTTTCGGTATTGAGTACCGATATTTTTTTTCGGTACTCACCTATACCGAATACGGATATAGGAAGTCCCATTAAGGATGTCGGGCGGAGTGTAATCACTCGCCACCCAGCTTCCTGATTAGCTGGGAAGCCAGGCGGCATGTAATGACTCGCCTCCCGGCTTCCTGACTAGCCGGGAAGCTGGCTCCATGCTCCCTTATCACGAGGTGATGAGGAAGCATGGAGCCGGCTTTCTGGCCAATCAGGAAACCGAGGGCGGGTAATGACTCGCCGGCTGGCTTCCCGATTGGTTCGGGAAGCTGGCCAATTAGGAAGCCGGGTGGCGAGTCATTATCTGCCCCCAGTTTCTTGATAGGCTGGGAAGCCAGCTCCATGCTCCCTGGAGACGATCGGGAAGCCGGATGGCGTGTAACGACTTGTAATAAGCATCGGGAGCATTTGGGCAAGTACGAGTATTCGCCCAAATACTCGGCATTGGCACTGATACCGATACTAGTATCAGTGCATGCCTAGTATATACTATATGGCGAAAGATTGTGGACACCTGGCCATCGCACCAGAGCAAAATTAGACATGCCATTTCAAAACCATGGGCATTAACGGACCCCCCCTTTACATTCATGGTAACGTTTTCCACAAGATTTTAGAGTGTGTCTGTGGAAAAATGTGACCATCCAGTGAAAAGAACATGTGTATGGTCAGGTACTGATGTTGGATGTGAAGACTTGGTCCACAAGCTGCATTCTAAATAATCCCAAAGGTGTTCAGTAGGGTTCAGGTCAGGGTTCTGTGCAGGCCACTTAAATGCCTTCATACCAAATTCTTTAAACCACGTCTTTATGGATCTAGGTTTGTGCACAGAGCAGCAGTCATGATGGAAAAGATGGGGCCATCCCCAAACTTTTTCTGCAAGTGTACAATTTTGCCCAATATGTATATGTACATTAGAGTACATCTAAACCCAAAAGCAAAAAAAATAATATATTGCAGCTTACAGATCCTTAAATGTGGCATCTGCATTAGTTTATTTAGGCTTTTTACTTTTTAATTTCATCTGGTGATCTGGCCAGTAAGTCTTTTATTTTTCAACTTCCTTTAATAGACAAGCAGAAGCGTTAGACAGAGGGTTGAGAAAAACAATTTAACACTGACAGGGGTGCTTACATTGGTCAGCTTTTGCTCATTTATGTAAAGCCTTTAACTCAAAATGAAAACATTGTTGCCGTAACTGTAAAAGTGTAAGCTGGAGTTAAACCTTAATTTGTTAGTCAAGTCCATCTAAATCTGTCTTGGGGTTTACATACGCTTTGACAGTACTATTCACTGGAAACACCTGAACTCAATAATTTGGAGAGGAGTCCACATACGTTTGTCCATAGTAGTGTGATGGTCCTTGAGTTTAGATACACTTTAACAATACAATTCACTGTAAGTACCTGAGCTCAATAACTTGGAATGGATTCCACAAACATTTGGACATAGTAGGTGTGATGGTCCATAAACCTCTGGCCATACAGTACATTCAAATGTAAATTCTATTAGGGAAACATTATACATGCAGATTGGGAATGCCCTGAAGTCAGAATACTCTTTATGTTGGATAAATATACATTACCCAGTGTTTGCAATCTGACAGCATGTATATGAAGACTTAAAGTGAAATTATAAACTTATATTTTTGCAAAGGCTTTGTATGAATTAAATAAAGTGGACTTTTTGCAAAGGCCCCCCTTAACCTCCCCAATACTCCTAGTAAATAAAAATGCAGAACACAGATTAGATATTTCGATAGTGGCAGTTGGCACACCTGAGGCACAACCGTCCTAACTTCACTGGAGGTATATGGGCACAATACTTCTATGAACTTTCCTTACAAGTATTAGACAAAAGTAGATGCAAGCTCACAAAACCCTGTTTGTGCAGTATAGTACATTGGCTTGAGAAGTTTAAGATTTAAGTTCGTAATTCCCAGTTACTGTAGGTGTTTGGAATGGGCAGCTTGCACATCTGGAAAGGCACCCTCAATGCTGAAAGATATATCCAGGTTTTAGAGCAGCATATGCTCCCATTCAGACAATGTCTTTTTCAGGAAAGGCCTTGTATATTACAGCAGGACAATGCTAAACCGCATACTACATCTATGACAACAGCATGGTTTTGTAGTAGAAGAGTTTGCCTTACTGGCCTGGCTGCAGTCCGGACCTTTCACCAATTAAAAATATTTGGGCATCTTTAAACGAAAAATAAGATCCAGGAATGTTGAGCAGTTAGAATCCAATATCAGGCAAAAATGGGACAACATTCCTCTCCCAAAACTCCAGCACCTTGTCTCCTCAGTTTCCAGATATTTACAGAGTGTTGTTAAAAGAAGATGGGATGCTACACCCTGGTAAACATGGCCCTGTCCTAACTTTTTTTTTTTTAAGATCGGTTGCTGCCATCAATTTCAAAATTACCTTTTTTTTTTTCCCCTTGAAATGGTAAATTTTCTCAGTTTAAACATTTGATGTTTTCTACTTTCTATTGTGAATACAATATGGGATGATGAGATTTGCAAATCATTGCATTCCGTTTTTATGTAGATTTTACACAGCATTCCAACTTTTTTGGAATTGGGGTTGTAATTATTAAACTCATACAAAGTATCAATGTTTTCTTGCCCACCTTTGAACATAATTAATGAGGTTGCTCAGATAAATTTGCTATAATCTGGAGATCCTGGGTAATGTAAAATTTACTATAATTGATAATGATAAACCTGTTGTATTATTTAGGGGTCTATTCATAAACAATTCACAGAGCCATTTGCCGTGCGGATCTCTGAGAATGTTTATTCTGTGCAAATAGAAGCAAAAAACTAAAGTTCTTTGTCAAATTTTTCAGGTTGAATGTAATGTAATTCTGCATTATGGCCAATAGATAGAGCTGAGGAGAAAAAGAAATAAGTATTTCATTCCTATGCTCCTCAGCTCTATCTAGTGGCCATAATGCACTATTGCAGTACATTCGACTGACAAGAAAATATACGAAGTACATTCATTTTTATCTCTATTCGCACAGAATGAACAGTCTCAGAGATTCGAAGACAAATGGTTCTGCCAATTGTTTATTAATAGACCCCTAAATGTTTATATGATTAAGTTAACCTCTTGCCGTCCGCCCGTAGTAGAAAAACGGACGGACGGCACTGCTGCATTGGCGGGTTGCCGTCGCCAGACGGCATTTTTTTTCTGCTCGCGCGCGCCCCCTAGCGGGCACGCACGGGCAGAAAAGACCCGTCCAATGCGAACACCCGGTACCGGGTGTTTCACATATAGGCGATCAGCGGGTCGATAGCCCGCCGATCGCCTATATGTGCTCGTTTGCGTCCGCACCCCGAATCCGATCTCTGCTTCATCAGCTTCTTTTGGGGTCCACAGGTGATATTAGGGGTCCTAGAGACCCCTAATGTCTCCATAAAGAGGACCTGTCAGTGTGCCTTTGCTATTATATAGGGGGATTGTTATCCCCCTATATAATAGCAATAACAATAAGTGCAAAAAAATTGATATAAATAAAAATAAATAAAAGTCACATATAAAAAAGTAAAATAAAATAAAAGTCAGATATAAAAAAAGGGGAAAAAAACCCCCAAAATGTTTAACTCCCCCACCCCCACGTTTACGCGCCTATAAACGTAAATACGCGTCCGGTGCCCCAGCGCGCAAAAATTACAATTGCGCTACACATGTTACATATCGCCGCGAACGTCGCAGTGAGAGCAATCATTTTAGGGCCATCAATCACTGATAACACTAAACTGATGAGCGGTAACAGCTTTTAAAGCGTCGCCTATGGCCAATTTTGGGTATTATCGTTTTTTGAGGTTTCGCGCGCGCACGCAATTTTAAGGCTTGACATGTTTAGTGTCTTTTTACCCGACGTGACCCCGTCTTTTATATTTTACCAAAAAATTGGGTAATAATAAATGTTTTATCATTTAATATAGGGGAAACTGTTTTTTTTTTTTTATTTCGGTGATTTTTCCTTAATATAGTAAAAAAATAAAAACCCCAGTGGTGAATAAATACCACCAAAAGAAAGCTCTATCTGTCCCCAAAAAAAGGTATAAAATTCATTTCAGTACAGCGCTGCATGACGGAATAAATGTCAGTCAAAGTACCACAGCGCTGAATACTGAAAAATGGCCTGGATGGGAAGGGTGTTTAACACCGCGGATGTCAACTGGTTAATAGAAATACCAAATAGAAATACCAGACAGGTTGACAGGTAATTGTTTTTTAAACAAAAAAAATTACAATAGGATTCCTGAAGGCAGTAGTATACAAGTGAATCTGTGTCATTGATTGGTATAAATGATTTCCCAGAATTTAGTACATTCTAAAACACTGAACTATTCCATTGTAACATATAAGGCGCAGAAGTGCATCAACTGTTCAAGAAATTTAAAGCCAGGAAAGAAGATTTCAGGCTGTAAAGTTAGACATTTCCTTAAAGGAAAAAACATACTGCAAGCAAACCAAAACATGAGTGCCCAAGAATACCTTCAGCTTCACTCTCAACCAGGTTAAGTTCAGGGCAAGAGAGTGAAAAGGTGATAAGCACAGCTGTAAAACAGATGTCAAATGTAAAATACACTGCGTGTGCTTTATTTATATACACTAGTTATTTATAACAACTCCATATGATGAACGGCACTATTCTGGGGTCTCTCGACTTAATACACATTTTATCATTGTATTAGTAAACTATTTTTGTTTAACTTTATTTTGTAATATCTTTTTAAAAGCTAACAAAAAAAGAAAGTCACATCTGTAGTCAGATCTGTTTAAAAAATAAAAATCACTGCTAGTATATAAAAAAATGCCAATACATAAAAATATGAGGCAGAATAAAAACTATGTAATATAATACATAATAAAGGTTTAATATAATCTACATATCCATGGCCATATTGTCCCTATTAATGCATGATTATTAACTCATTCAAACTTCCATAACAATTTGGGACTCCTATTTTTGCTGTGGTTTTTGCAATAGGAACCAAATAAATGCACAATATATTTTTTATCCTGCATTTGGAAAGATTTCCACTCACATGCCATTGTGTCAAAGGGACATGAAATGAGGGCAAATCTCCCGGGGTAGATGCGTCTAGGGACAGTCATCTATTACATGCAGACTACCCCTTATAGATGTGGCCGCTGTCTCCAGGTTATTTAAACGAGCACAGTGGTAGCATCTTAACCCCCTATTCCTGCTGCAGGAATCCCAGATCACCCCGTGTGAATAGGGTCTTGCACACCTTACTCTGTGTCAAATACTCTGACACATGATATATTTATTCAAAATCTTTCAACTTTGTATACTACCGCTTATGTTTTTACATAACTCTTGAGCAGCTTTGATCGGAGTTGATCAATGCGAGGACACAGACAATTCTGTTGCTGTTTATGTTCCCAGTTCACACAGTTTAGCAAGCTTCACTGCAAGCGTTTACAAGGTTTTAGCTTTTTAAGCATCACTAGACATGGTCAGGACAAGCATAACTGTCACCAGTTCACTTGGTAGTTCGTTCTCTCCCCTCTTCCCTCTCTCTCTCTCCTTCAAGAATAAAAAAACTCTGCAATAAAATGATCCTGTAAGAACACTGATTTGAATCCACCTGAATATGAAGCGTTACACAACTCAGGAGCAGATAAGCTTTGGACTGGTCCAACTGAGTTGCAGTGAGGCCAGGTGCCCAAACTGTCCCCTACATAAGCCTACATTTTACAAACAAGTTCTGTCAGCTAAACCCAGCATTTAAAGTCTATGGCTAATCATATACTTGTAGATTTCTTTCATTTCATCCTGCAGGTTCAACAAAAGTAAATACTTGATTTCCCCAGCCATGCTAAACAGTGTGGAAGGATGAATCTTCCCTGCCGGATGAAGTATTAAGACAAGCGGCACCCGCAGTTGTCTGAATACTGGGAGAGTGAATGCATCTGATTGAATTCAGTTTTTGTTTGTCCAACGATTTTCCAAAAGTTTCAGAAAAAAACTGAAACAAACCTAATGCAACCACCCCATAGAAGTGGTAAGCTGTAATAAATTATATTTTGGTTCTTGGGTTAGACACACTTTTTTGTAAACAAGAAGGTGGCACAGCTGCACCGAAAAGTGAATACTTAGCCTCAGAGAATTTGATAGAAAATGTGTAACTTCTGAAGCAAAATTAAAGAGTTCAACCCAAAACTTATATTTTAGTTTTTGGTAGATGCCAAAGAGATAAACCACCTCACAGCATAGTGTAGTTCTCGGGGACTCAATTGGTGACATTTCTGTGATTAAGAGCTCCTGCTGTAATATTATGAAGCATTCTCACTCTATGTGTTGCATTTATAAGATATTTATATGGAATATGCAACAGGATATGATTAAAACCACAAAACTGCCAGGTGGACAGGAATATAATTAGCAAGTACGACACATAAGAAGCCGACGAGGCTCAACCCATAACCACAACATCACTTTTGGGTGTATGGCTGTGAGTTGTCCTAATCTGCATTCATATATAATTCTGGTTGATACAAATAGATAGGAAATACTAGATGGAATAGTATCACATACCTCACAGTTGAATGGTTCTCTATTAGGTACCAGGTGGCAGAAAACTTTTCACTGTTGAAGTCTCCACTCTTTCCAGAAAATAATGCCTCAATGTCCTGGTGTGGAATCTTGCCTCTACAAAAATACAAATATATGCATTTTATTTTATTTTTTTAAATACACTTGTAAATGTATCAGCAGAAACTCATCGTCAGGAACTAAAACAGACTAATAAAGCTGTAAATAGTTGAGACGACCTGAGCTGCAGACAATAACTTCCTCTGCTTGTTTAGTTTTCCAACAGTCAGCGTTTACATTGTTAAGTAGTCCATCTCTGTGCATGCGGTCTCCCAGTTCCTTAGGCCATTCCAGGTGCATGTGCCAAGGTCGGCCATTATCCTCTATTGTTAGAGTCTGCTTATGTACAAGGAGCAGAGCACCAGGCTGCATCACAAAGTAAACCTTACCTGGCCACTCAGCAGGCTAGACGGCTAGAATAGAGGTTGTTGACAGCTAAGGTTAGTTTAAGTTTTCATTAGAAGGATGTAGAACAGGTTTTATTACTGTAGATTTACTTTACAGTTTAAAGATCAAAAACATAATGGAAAAAATATTTTGATAGTTTTTTGTTTTACAAGGACATTTTTTTTAAAGAAAATTTAGAAATGTATTCATAGTTAGAGGCTTTTCAGAAGGGCGGTCCTATCAGGTTCTCCTGTCAGCTTTTCAGGGTGATCTGATCGGAAGCCAAATATTAGTCTACTGGTAGCCAGATCTAAATAGGCTTGTATCCGTTTACATCTGATTAACCCTGACTCCGGCCAGTTCTGAAAAAGCAAACAAAACAGAGATCCGTTTTTGGTGGAACTGAATCATGACAGATCTGGGGTACTCTGATGTAAACAATCACATGTCCACTTACATCTGATTCCCCATTGTCTTAACATAGGTCCAGGAAGTTCAGTCCATGGAGGAAAAATCTGGAAGAAATGGATGTCACAATAGTGACAACCATTCCAAACTGATCAGCAGGGGATCTGTGCATGGATCCCCTGCTGATCGGAACTGAAAGGCGCTTGTGTGAAAGGGACCTTTTATAAAACAGTGACTATTATGTGCAAATTACCCTTAGCAACAAGACTTGTTGCTTACCTTCTCACTAATATATTACTTCATCACTTACTTCATTTTAATCAGATTTAAAGACTTTGACAAACTAAGTGCTTCTGCTGAATTAATTGCTCCGCGGTGTTTGCAGCTACAGAGGGTCAGTGAGGGCTTTGTATGCTCATTTACTTCTTGTTAGGAATACTCAAATGTCCAAAGCCTGACAAAAAGGTTCAGTTTAGGATGTGTGGTAGAGCCAAAAAATCTAGTAACTGGTCTATTTTCAAAGGCAAATGATAGTTGAGCTTTAAATATGTTTTACACAAGTACTTTGAAACAAAATCCTTTTTTTTTTATCTTATAAATCCACTGGATAGAAAACCACGGTAAACAATACTGCCCAAATCTGAAAATAGTTTGAAAAAAGGTTCACACAGACAAATGTATATATTAACATCACTTTAAATATGTCATACACGTATATGTACACACGTGCATAAAGGATGCAACAAGTAGCACTACCCGTCATAATACTGCCTAAATAAATGAAACTTGATGGAAGCAATATATGAAGACAGGAGAGCTCTGGCCTCTGGTTCTTACTCTACCTTGGGAACTGCAATAAGAGAAAAGTAATGTGGATTACAGTCTTGATGAGTCTGGCTGAGATCATACACAAGAGAGCAGGCCTCCCACATATACATGTTTTCATAGCTCACTGCTGACATGTTCCTCACTGAGAACTTTTAACACACTACGAAGAATGGACACACAGCAAGATGCAATTCTGCTGGGACCTACTCAGGCAGCTCATGTAATAAGTGAAGACAAAACAAGGATCAGATCAACTCCTGATAGTCAGCTGCAAGTCTCGTTAAGTAAGGGAATGACAGAGGTAATATTGTGCCGTTTAGATGAACTAGAACAGCAGCCTTTATTAAGCCTACTTCGATGTCAGGACTCCTTGCAATAACTTTCATTTACACAGTAGACTTTCAGGCTTGCTGAAGTGAAGCCATAGCTTCAAAACACATCTACTTCTCTCAAATCTGACGTGCGATGAAAATGTCAATAGAACTGGTTGCATGACAGCGGTAATAAAATGTAAGTACAGTTTTTAAAACAACTAGGACTAAGAGGTAATCTTCATATAATGCTTCACTTTTCTTAAGAATGAACAAAAAAACAAACTATTGTGATTTAACACAAAATGTAAATGTTACAGCCACCAGCCAATTTGTGATTTCCATTAAAAGCAATAAAGCATGTGTGAGAAATTGATTTTTTCCTCATTGTAAGATATCTAGGAATAGCCTCTGATTCAACTTCTACAGAGACAGAAAAAGGTCCGCTTGTGAGCTATTTTGATAGAAGGATGGTGAAACGGGGGTACTGAATGGATTCTATCAGGTGTTACATTCTATCTCAGCTGATATAATCTACTCAACCACCAATTAAACGCTCCACTATTAACGCTCCACTATTAAAAAGGAGAACTATGGGGAAAGTGTTTTTCCCTAAGGTTCTCCTAAGGGTCATGGGTCCTCCCGTGACCCAAAGCTCTGTATAGCTCACGGTATACTGAGACCACCGCAGCCGGGACGGATCCCGACATTACTGTCGAGATCAACCCAGCTGCTTGATTAGATAGGCAGAGCCAGCTGTAAACCGCCCCCCACCCGTCCATTCCGCCAGTCAGCGATGGAGGATCGGAGCGGGGAGGGGGGGGGGATCCCTGCAGGGAGCTGTGAGTGACAGTCACGACTCTCTGCAGGGACATGATCGAGAAGTGAGTGAGCGACGGTATGTGTTCGCTCACTTCCCGATCTATTGAGCCGACGTGTGACAGTTTTATTGTCACACGTCGGCTCGAACTATGAGACTGAGTAAAAATCACTCGCCTCATAGTTCTCCTTTAAGGGGTTTTTCCACATTCCCAAACTCTGAAAGCATGGCATGTCTGTTTAGATGAGCGTCTCAAAGTAACCATCCACAAAATCATTACTGCATCACTTGGTTCTAAAAGCAGGAACACTAAAAAAAAAAACATCTTTGCTTACTTTATCTCTTGCTCCCTCACAGGTTGGTGCAATCCTCTTACCTCCCTGGGTACCCCAGGTGGTGAGTGGGCCCTTGGTGTTCTCACTTACAATGCAGGACTGATGGACCTGCATTGTACGTCAAGACATCAGAATGAGACCACTGGATGAAGCGCTGTCGGCTTTGGGACAGAAGGAAGTCTGCAGGAGCGCGTGAGAAGATATATAAAAGTGGTTTTCAATGTTCCCCTAATCAAAAACAAGCATTTAACCCTTGCATTGTGGGAGAGCACACCTGCAAGAGTAGTTTATGAATTTCCCAAGATTTCAGCTTTAAAGAGACACTTTGCCCATTTAGGTTGAATTCGATGGACTTGTGTCTTTTTTTCAACCTAACTATGTAACAATGTCTGTGTAAGATCCCTTTCACATGAGCACTGTCTTTACCAATTAGCAGGGGAACCGTGCACAGATCCCTGGCTGATCGGAGCAGTACGGAACAGATGTCACTCTTGTGACATCATTGTCCATTCAGTTTTTTCCTTCCATCTTGCAATGGAAGAAAAAATGGAGTGTACGGACCCATGTTAGGTCTATGGGAAGGCAGATGTAAGTGGACATGTGTCTGTTTACATCAGATTACCCCGGATTCGTCATGATCAAGTCCACCAAAAACGGATCTCTGTTTTGTTTGATTTTTCAGACCTGGTCGGAGTCAGGGTTAATCAGATGTAAGCGGATACAAGCCTATTTAAATCTGGCTTCCAGCTGCCAGTGGAATAATATTTGGCTTCTGATCAGATCCCCCTGAAAAATTGACAGGAGAACCAGATAGTACCGCACGTCTGAAAAGCCTCTAACTAAAGAACACATTTCTAAATTTGCTTTTTTTAAATTTTCCTTATAAAAAAAACAATAAAAAAATATTTCAGTATAATATTCCATTACATTACTTTTTGATCTTTAAACTGTAAAGTAAATCTACAGTAATAAAACCTGTTCTACAGCCTTCTAATGAAAACTTAAACTAACCCAGGATGTCAACAGCCTCTATTCTAGCCGTCTGGCCTGCTACTTTGTGATGCATCCTGGTGCTCTGATCCTTGAACATAAGCAAACGCTAACAATAGAGGATAATGGCCGACCTTGGCGCATACACCTGGAATGGCCTAAGGAACTGGGAGACAGCATGCACAGAGATAGACTACTGCACAATGTAAACATTGGCTTCATGATCAGGTAGAAAACGTACTATTAGTTGGGTAAAGGTAGAAAAACATGGCTTCCAAAGTTCTGATTTCTTGGTCACACTCACCTTGTGACCTCCCTTTCTGTCATAAAGCTGCCAGTGTTAGATTAGCAGTACAGTACAATGCATTACAGTCTGACTGTCTTTCACTGCTGGACCTTCCTCTCTTAGTATGGATTCACAAACTGCAGGAGATTATGAGAATATTATGTATCTGATGCCAGTATTCATAAGCTGCCCCTGGCCTCTACTTACTGCAGCTGAAAAAGACTGAAAGAAGACATTTTATTTTCTTATTAACAATGGCTACCAGGCTCCTGGGATTCGTCAAACCTTGATAACAGATGTTGACTGTTCCAAAAATCCCTATTCTCCATCACAGGATTTATACGAGTTACCATTTACATATACAAATTGTTGAACATCCTTTCCTGCTTAAAACAGCTAATAATATTCCAGCAGGTGGCAATGTCCCACCAGAAAATAAAAAGTAGTAGGGTCGTGGGAATATTCTATTTAAGACAGTAAGAGGGTGGCTGGTGAATGACTTGGAAAGTATTTTCAATTTCACTATTCATTTTTATTTCAAGGTCTGGTCTCTGCTAATGACCCAATGCAACGTGCTAAACAACAAACAGTGCTTTGAAATGAGGTCTGACCATACTTCAAGCAGTGAGGCTAGCTTTGGATCTCTGGGACTGCAGTGCTCTTTATCTGGCAGAAGAAAAAAAAAAAGGGTT